CCCCCCCCAAAAAATAAAATATTAGGTAAAGCAGAATCATAGAAACTTTTCACAGGGAGAAGATAAGGAACAGCACAATAGAAACAGTTTCTTGGGGGAGCAAAAGGTGGAGAGCACCAAGAAACATTGGTTCTTGCCTCTGATTGAGAAGGTGTAATTCCTCCAAGTTATTTACATCCTTTTATTCTTTATTTCTGTGCTCAGGGATAGAAGAGCCATAGAAAGTTTGAATGTAGATGTAATAGTTTCTCTAGCTGTTAATTAAGAATGATTGTGTTTGCCCTTACATGTAGTTAGGTTAAGTAATCTCTTTAACTTGCATACCTCAAGTCATTCGTTTCATTCATTTGTTACATAGCCTCATTTGTACCTGTTTTGTCTTTGTAACTAGATCATATAGTATTCTATGGTGGAGATCATCTATTTGCCTTACTAACTCCATCATTGGTCCATCAAACATTCACTGAATGCTTTTAGGAATGGGGCTGAATTCTAGAGAAAAGAGTCTTTTCTATACCCTTAGTATCACAATAGGTATGAACAGCATGATCGCAATCTTAAACACTTTGGAAAGTAAAGCAGCTAATAAATTAGGGGAAAGACAAACAAACACCTAATGACAGATTTTAGGAGAAGGTGTAGTCTTCACCACCCTCCACCAGAGAGCACCATCTTCTCATGAGCTGGAAAGGGTACTTCCTCTTCATAGTACATAGAAATACCGACTTAAAAACAGTGAAGGAGGGATGAGAAGAAAGGACACACCAGCAATGTTGTCCAGGTATCCAGATCTGTTTCCTGTTAGGTGTGTGGACATGAATAAGCAACACCAGAACCAGTAGGGGACAGAAGTGGCTGCATACAAGAGCACTAGAAACTTCTTGGTCACTCAGTCTCAGACCACCCTTCCTGGTTGGAGTGAAAAATAATTGTGTGAGTCTCTTAGGGACTGTTTCATGCCCAGATGCCAGAAGGAATCAGACAGTCAGTCCCTTTGCCATCCTTGGAAGGAAAGATTTAGACAAGAACACGGTCCTAGAATTGGCAGTTGGACATCCCTTCTCCTGAACCCCGCTATCAGAACTCATCTTGTGGAGATGACTTCAAAGCTCAAGAGCCATGAAATTACCCATGCTGGTGCTTTTGATAACAAATGCTAAGAAGTGAGCTAAAAGTAGGGATAGCCATAAATATTGGAAGACTATGCTGACATTGAAATTGGCTTTGATCTCCATGGAGAGTGGTACTAACCACAGAAGACCATGGTGGTTATCATAATAGACACTGCACTGTGTGAATATCAGAATGAGCCCACAATGATGATTAAAGAGGCTGGTGATCATAAAGTCTCTTGGAAAAAATAAATATAGGCATCACCATTAAATTTTCTCTCTCTTTTTTTGCTAGTCCTGGGACTTGAACTCAGGGCCTAGGCATTGTTGCTGAGCTTCTTTTGCTTAAGCTAACACTCTACCACTTGAGTCACAACACCACTTCTGGCTTTTTCTGTTTATATGTTACTGAAGAATCAAACCTAGGGTTTTATGCATGCTAGGCAAGCACTCTACCACTAAGCCACAGACCCAGCCCCCCTTTTTTTGGGGGGGGTTCGGTCATGTGGCCTGAACTCTGGGCTGGGCGCTGTCCCTCAGCTCTTCAGCTCAAGGCTAGCGCTCTACCACTTGAGCCACAGTGCTACTTCCTGCTTTTTTCTTTTTGCTTACGTGGTGCTGAGGAATCGAACCCAGGGCCTCATGCATGCAAGACAAGCACTCTACCACTGAGCCACCTTCCCAGCTCCAGCCCCCTTATTTTTTTTTTATTTTCTTTACTATGTTTGGCATAATGCCCGCTCCTTTGGTTGTTAATAGCTCCAATAATCAGCCTCTCCAAGCTGAGGGAAAGATGATGGGAACAGCAATTAGGGCTTCTCACAACTTGAATGAATACCAGTCTAAAACCATAGTATCTTAAAAACTCTGTGTGTGTGTGTGTGTGTGTGTGTGTGTGTGTGTGTGTGTGTGTGTGTGTATCACTATTTTTTATGCCATTATTTTTGGAAGCAATTGTAACTCTGCTTCATTTCATTTCTTTTTTTTCTTCCTGTCCTGGAGCTTGAAGTCCTAGAGCTATAGCTACACTTTTGGATTTTTTAGGGGTAATTTTTTGGAGATAAGAGTCTCACAGACTTTGATGCCCTGGCTGGCTTTGAACAGTGATCCTCAGATCTAAGCCTCCTCAGTAGGTAGATTACAGGGATGAGCCACTTTAGTCAGGTGTAATAGTCCTTCATCCAAGAAGGTGATGACTCAAGGAATGGAAAGAGAGGTTCTGTCTATTCAGGGCTTTACCCTTACCTCTCCTTAGGATGTATACACTACTTTGAATGACAAATGAAGCCACTGGTAACAGATTGAAGAAATGCAGAGGAGTACAAGCCTATCCTGGGACATATTAAAACATCAAGATGAAAAATAAAATCTCTTCTCACAAGAACTTCAGTTAAGAGAGTCTGCTCTTTATATATACTAAGGAAACTATAGCACTTTTGCCAACATGGTTTTGAGGCTGGAGGAGTCAAACCTAGGTTATTACATATGATAGAGCAGTGGTCTACCTTCCAAGTGTGTGCTTCTTTCCAATGTAGTGTTTTATTGGCAATTCATTATTAATGACACTCCTTCCAGCTTCCCAAGTTTTTTTCTGAGGGAATGGTTCAAATGGTAGAGCATTTACTCAGCAAGCACAAGACTTTGAGTTCAAACCCCAGATCAAAAAAGAAAAAATATTTTAGTCACTATTACATTTTCCAACAATTCCAGGACTTTTAACTTCTTTAAATCCTTTAATTAGTATGACACTGGGAAGCCTGTTTAAGAAGCAGGGTGAGGGAGAAGAGGAGAGTGTTTGATTAAGGAACATTTTGTGCATATATGCACGTGTCAAAAGGAAACTCCCTTGCATGACTAATTTATATTAATAAAAATTTGGGAAGCCAGGCACTGGTGGTGGCTAATGCTTGTAATCCTAAATTATTCAGAAGACTGAGATCTAAGGATCTTGGATTGAAATCAGCCTGGGCGATAAAGTCTGTGAAACTTGTATCTCCAATAAAATACAAAAAGCTAGAAGTGGATCTGTGGCTCAAGTGGTAGAACACCTTGAGCAAAAAAAGTTGAGGGACAGCATCCAGGCCCTGAGTTCAAGCACCAGGAGTGTCACACACCACACCACACCACACTCCACACGCCCAAAATATGGGGAAAAGTATGACACTGAACAACTTCTTACAAGACTGAAGGTCTTTCATCTTAATACTCACATCCTACTAGAAAAAGACAAGAGAAATGAACTGGTTAAACACAAACCAAAACGAAGAATCAATTCCCTGATAACTTCAGAGAAAGAGGTCCAGGCTTTTCGGAGATTGATATTTTAAGTGGACATAGCTAGGAGATATTGCTGATTAATTGTGGAAGCTGAGTTCTACCATGCGGAAAATTACCCTATGGCAGGAATCGGTCAGTGCCCACGGAATAGAATCGACGGCGTATAGAATGAGTCCAGTGCATCCAATGGGGTCTGGGAGGCCAGCTAAGGTGAAGGCTGGTCCTCAGATCCAGGTCTGCACAGAAAATAGCTAGCCAGGGCCTGTGGAATCTGGAACTTGCCAGGGGTGTCACTGTGTGCTCACAGCGGGTGGAGTTCTGTTGACTAGAGGCTAATTGGTTCTGCTCTAACCAATCACAGTGGCGGGAAGAACAAGGCGACATGAGCTCTGCTGGTGAGTGTTGGAGAGGGGCGCGCAGAGGTGTTGAGCAAACCACTCGCCCGCCCAGTTCTTAACAAGAGGGAGCCATGTAGGGCTGCTACAAGTGGTTTCAAAGCATCCACGGCCTTAGCTTTCCTGCTCTCCTTCTTGAACTTTAAGGCCTCCTTCCTAAGACAGCTAAGGCAAAAGGGAGGAGGTCAGATGGAAATGGGGCCGTCCCGCGCCCCTTTTGTAGGGAGAAGGCCCACACGGATTGGAACTGTACAGTGATTCCTTTGTTGCTAAGTCAGTACTAACAAGGTGCGAGTTGAGTGCTGCCCGCCTGCCGAGCTAACGGAGTGTGAAGGGAAAACAAGCCTGGAGCAATGGTAGGATTGGTTAATGGTAGGATTGGGAGGTTCTCCAGAGTCTTGTTTTCTTATTAGGACTATCTGGCCAATGGCAATCCTTATCGCAGCCAAACCCCTCTTCACTAGCAGTGGGTGAACAAGAGTAAAAAATGCATACCATGGTTGTAAAAAGGGGTCTGTGTCTGGGGACATTAGAAGAACATTATCTATGTGTTGACACGAACAACATTAGGGGCTGGGAAGGTGGCTCAGTGTAGAGTACTTGCTTTGCATGCATGAGGCCCGGGGTTCGATTCCTCAGCACCACAAAAGCAGAAAAAGCCAGAAGTGGCGCTGTGGTTCAAGTGGTAGAGTGCTAACCTTGAGCTGAAGAGCTGAGAGACAGCACCCAAGGCCCAGAGTTCAGGCCCCACAACCGTCAAAAAACAAACAAACCACCACCACCAACAACAACATTAAAAGGTGTTGAAAGAGAGGAAAGGAGTTTAAGAAAAAGTAATATGGCTAGGATGATTGATCAAAACAAATTATATGTATATCATATGTACATATCACAATGAAGTCCCTTGAACCATTAATTTATGTTAATAAATTTTTTTAAAAAATTAAACTTTAAAAAGACCCACTCCTCATGTGCATACACATATATGCTATATATGTGTATTATATATATTATTTAGTACATATGTAGTATATTATATATCTATTATATATTATGTATTTATTATATTATATAGTATATTATATGTTATGTACTATATAATCTTATATGTGTATAAAAATAATACATTATGTGTGTGTAAGTAGCTAAAATATAGAAATACATAGGCACATAACAGAAATACATGGTCACACAGTTTAAATGTAGAGTGTCAGCTTGAGTGAAAAAGCCAAGCTAGAGAGAGAGGCCCTGAATTCAGGCCCCAATACAGACAGACAGACAGACCACATATAGAGTTTTCTTAGAACTCATGTCCACACTAACTTTTCCAGTTCTACCTCATTTCTCTACAGTCCTTTTGCTTTTCCCAAGCTCATATTTACATGTTTCTTTCTGTCACAGAAGGTTCTGGCTGTCAGCATTACATTTATTTTTCTCAGTCCTATAACACATCTCCTATTGTATCAGAATTAGTTCAGCAATATTAGCACCATGAACCTACTAAAAAGATCAGGATCTATTTGCAGTTCTCCTTACCACTACCTCAACCTCGCTACTGTAACAATTTCCCATGCATATACTACAGGCCCAAGAAGAAGGCTTCATAGCCAAATACTGGCTTAGTAAATTAACTTGAATTTCTTCTTTCCCCTTTTCCTTAACTTTTTCTTTTTTCTTCCTTCCTTCCTTCCTTCCTTCCTTCCTTCCTTCTTTCCTTCTTTCTTTCTTTCTTTCTTTCTTTCCTTCTTTCTTTTTGTTGGTTGCAGGGCCTGAACTGTAGACTTGGGCACTGTCCCTCAGCTCTTCAGCTCAAGGCTAGCACTCTACCACTTGAGCCACAGCTCCACTTCTGGCTTTTTTTTCTGCTTATGTGTTGCTGAGCAATCGAACCCAGGGCCTCTTGCATGTGATGCAAGCGCTCTACCACTGAGCCACCTTCCCAGCCCCTCCTTAACTTTTCTTTAATTTCAAATCCTTCCTCACTTATCCCTTTGGGCAAGGCCTTTATTTAACATGCAGTTGGAATCATTATTTCCATTTGCTTGGAGGTTTGGATTTTTCCCCCAGTGATTTTAAAACTAAGTTTGCATAGTATTAAAAATAATTTTAAAATACCTGATATGCAATAAATGGCTGAAAACCAAACAATCCAAAAATTAAAAGTCATCCCCTGATGACCTCGCCAATCTGCAGACTGGCGAGACTGCGGACAGAAAGCAGCAGGCAGGGGAGACTGAAGCAGAGGGCCATATCATCAGAGTGCTTCATCTACATTTATGAAAAGAGCCTAATAAAACCTTCTAAAATTGTTTAAAAGGCAGGGACAAAAGCAATAAGAAGTTAACAGAGGGGTGAATTTGATTAAAGTATATTATAAGCATGTATGGAAATACACAATGAAAGCCTTTTGAACAATTGATGTACACTAATAAAAAAGAGAAAATCATCTCTTTTTCATGAAGTAAAAGTACATCTATTTGTGCCTTCAGAGATGACATTGAAATAGAAATAATTCACCATTAAAATCAAATCAGTGGAATAAGTATTTTTATAACAATTACTATATTCTGTCCACGTTTTTATTAATCCACTGGGGAAAAGTATCTTAGTTGAACAATCATCTCTTTTTTAAATTTAATTTTGTTGTAAAGGTGGTTACATAAGTTAGGTAATGAGTACATGTCTTATGGAACATTGTTACCTCCTCCCTTGTTTTTTCCTGTTTTCCCTCCTCCCTGACTCTCTCCCACCCGCCAAGTGGCAAAGTGCATTTCCAACATAGTGTCTTGTGCGTTTTGCTGCTGCATTGGTTCACTCTTTGTCCTTTGATTCACCATTTTGTTCTCTTGAAATAACAATTCGTCCAGCACTGACAGATCTTTTTATTCAGTTTTTTCTTATTTTTAATTATTGTAAAGGTGATATTCAAGGGGTTACCATTTCATAAGTTAGATAATACATTTCTCTTTAGACAATGTCACCCCTTCCTTTGCTCTCTCCTAGTTTTTCCCTCCTGTTTCTGCCCACGCTAACAGGTCTTGAATAAGGTATAAATGATTTTAGTGTCTAGGAGAAGAAAGAAGACAAAACCTAAATTCCTCTTGTCACAGAGCTCAGTCTGGCTAGGAAGCTGTCCACATCAATGGATGAAAACAATGTGTCAAGCAGGCCAAGGCAGGGGCATGAGGTAGAGAGTACCAGACAGAGATGTGCCACCCATGCAACCTATTACCATGATCTTCCAGCCACTGATCAGGAGCAGAATTATCCCGAGGCATGTGATCGTGATCAGTTGTGATGGTGTAGAGATCACAGCCAATCTAACACTTCGTAAACTTGTACTATTCTTAGTTCACCAATATTATTTATTCATGATGGATAACTAGAAACTTGAGAAGTCACCTAGAGTGGAGAGGAGACTTCTGGCAATGGGAGTGTGGGAACAAAGACTTAAAGTAAAGTAGACTCCTAGTAGATTCTTGCTGTTAAAGTAGTAGCACTTTTGGGAGTGTCTTGATTTGGACTTGGAAACAGGAGGTAACATATTGTGAAGTGGTAGGAGGTGAGCCTATAGGCAAAAACAAAAACAAAAAAAAAGAGACTAAAGCCTCAGATACCATGAAGGATTTGGGCTTTATCTTGCAGGACATTGAAGGGTATTTAAAGGGCCTCAGTAACGACATCAGCATTTGCAGTGGCAGGCTGTAGAAGATATTGGAATAGGAAGGGACTGGAACTAGCGATACCATTTAAGAAACCGACACAGTTTTCTAGGGGAGAGACAAAAAGAACCTGAGAGAATTAATGTGCAGGAGCCAGAGACCTCTGGCTCATACCCATCATCCTACCCACTCAAGAGGCTGAAAACTGAAGATTATGGTTTGACGGCAGCCTAGGCAGAAAACTTCCTAAAAGTCTTATCTCCAGCTAACTAGCAAAAAAAAAAAAATCTGGAAATGGAGGTGTGACTCAAGGGCTAGACCAAATGCCAGTTTTTAGTGAAAAGCTAAGGAGGAGTGCAAGGCACGGAATTCAAGCCCCAATACCTGTACACACACACACACACACACACACACACACACACAGAGTTAATGGGCACAGATGGAGACAGAGAAGAGAGATTCCAGAAATAGGGAGAAACCACAGAGCAGGGATCACTTACTGCATATGGGCAGGAGGAGGGAGCAGAAGGGGAGATAGAAGAGGCACGAATGACAGGCAGGAGAGGGAGTCAAATCTCCATTTTCTGGATTAGGCAATTGAATCAGTAATGTGTCTAATGCACATTGGAAGGCCTGGGCACATAGAACGCATTGAGATGCATGTGCCTAATGGATGTAAACAGAGATGGCCCGTATGATTAAAGCAAGAATCAAAAAAAGAGAGGTCTGAGCTGAAAAAACAGATTTTTGAATCATCTGTGTGTCATAAATCAGAGGATACTCATAAAAAAGAAAAGCAGAGCAGGATGTAGGGAAAACACACATGAAATTTTATGCTAGACAGGAGGAAAAATGGTATTTGTGGAACAGAAGGTAGCGACTGACACCAGATCTACTACTTATAATACTGTCTGGGTGTCTGGGTTGTTTCTGTGTCTGGTATTCAAAGACAGCAACCATCTGGTGTCATCAGGAAAAGTGACCAAGGCCTTTGTCTAGTTTTGTTATTAAACCTGTAAGCCAGTGATTGCAAATGACTCACTATTATCAGATGCTTGACTAGATGAAGCCAGGTACCTCACATAAATTATTTAAGCCATTCATTTAGTCTTTCATTATAAACTTTGGGTATGATGGAGAAATGTTGGACCATTGCTAAGACAGTTAACTTATTATTTAATAATTGAATGCTGTACTCTAAAAAACATTTGGAGGAGGTGACGCTGTAGCTCAAGTTGTATAGTTCTTGCCTTGAGCTGAAGAGCTGAGGGACAGTGCCCAGGCCCAGAGTTCAAGCCCCACGACCGACAAAAACAAAAACAAACAAAAAAAACCCACAGAAACATGTGGAGTAAGCATAAGGGATTGTCTAGTCCACAGGAGATTCCTGTACTTAAATATATGACTATCAACATTTGTATTGTCTGATTACCTTAAACAACAACTATCAAAGCGAAGAGAAGCATTTAATGTATTGCATGATCAAATGAATAATCAAGAAAGTTCTTACCAGGCTGTAATGCTGGGTCCCCACAAACCAGCTGAAGTTTGATTGAAATACACAAGTTCCTGCCTTTGGTTTCTTAAAGAAGATACAAAATATATTATAGTAGACTAAACAGTGACACAGGAGAACCTCCAAAGCGAACCCCATTTCAAACCATACTAAGGCAATATGCAAGGAAGTCAGTTGTTCATTTGTACTCTGCTCTGGAAAGTGTTGGGGTGTATTAGTTGGAAGTAAGCATGTTGTTGTAAATTTAGGGACACAGCATAAATGGGACACGCAGTCCTGTCAGACTAGGGGCTCCCCACAGCTGGGAGTGTTTAAGCAGAGTGACAAGTGACAAAGATCTGGAAAAGGACAGATGTGAGTTCGATCACACTAAAGGCTGTCAGCATGGTTGTTGGCCATGGATGATGGATTCATTTGCTCCATTTTTTCCCTTGTAATACAATCTGCTCAGGGGTTTTTTATTTTTATTTTTCCTCCCATATAGAGATCATCGCTTCTACAAACCTTATCATTCTTCTAGAGGATGAGATCTTTGCTGATTTTTTCAACACATTTCTTTCTCTCCCGGTAAGCATTCTCAGACTTAAATACAATGTATTCTTTACAGCTGAACAGTAAATCTCACTGACCCAAATGCCTGTTTAGTTTTGATGACATTGTTTTCTTTTTTCTTGATCATGGGGCTTGAACTCTGGGCCTAAGCACTGTCCCTCAGCATTTCAGTTCAAGGCTAGTGCTCTACCACTTGAGCCACAGCACCACTTCTGAGTTTCTGGTGGTTTATTGGAGATAAATAGTCTCATAGACTTTCTTACCTGGGCTGTCTTTGAACCGTGATCCTCAGCCCTCCTGCGTAGCTAGGATTACAGCCATGATCCACCGGTGCCAGACTGTTTTCGTTTTGTTTTGTTTTGTTTTTAAACAAAATTCTGTATCAACTCAAGAGCTTTTGCAATTTAAGCAAGATGAATTTAATTGACCTGCGAAGAAATGCAATTTGAAAGGGACAATAATAACCTCACTCCTTCAATATCTGTCTGGAAGGTGATATGTGTGGATTACAACTTGTATCTAAGGGGAATGGACACTTGAGCTGAATGGATTAATAGACAATAAAAGGCTTAATCTTTTCTTTGTTCTTCCATAAATTTGCTTTATATATTTTTTAAAAATCTATATCTGCTTGCCAGAGAGAAGTAGCAAAGATTTTGGTCTGTGGTATCAGGCTTTAGCTCTATTCAGTTTTCTTCTTTGTAGCACACAAGGTCTCACAAGTCTCCAACAAATTAACCAGGAAACAGTAGAAAGTGTAGTCATGACTCAAGTGGTAGAACAGCAGCCTTGAACAAACAAGCCAAGTGAAAGTTTGAGTCCTCGATACAGGCACATATATTATTACAAATTTAAGACACACACTATCTCCATATGTAATTTATAACCCAAGACTTCATATCTTCAGTCCTGTCTGCTTGTTCAGTTCAAAAGCTTAGACAAATCCAAAGCCATTTCTCATTAGAAATAGCTTTACACCTTTCTTATTTCATGGAGAAAGTGAATAATACAACACATCAATATATCATAATATCAAGAGCATTTGCTTTTGCATACAGGCAAGCTAAGTCCCAAGTCTAGGCAGGGGAGAGCCAAAAAAATGAATCTTGCAATTCAGTAGCTAGAATATTCTGGTGCAGAACAAGTTAATTCCATGGAATACATTTAATATTTAAGGTCCCTCAAAACAGGAAGGCTGGGGCTGGGAAGGTGGCTCAGTTGCCTTGCATGCATGAGGCCCTGGATTCGATTCCTCAGCACCACATAAGAAAAAAGAAAAAAGCCGGAAGTGGCGCTGTGGCTCAAGTGGTAGAGCGCTAGCCTTGAG